CCGGGAGGCCTGATGGTCAGTTTCCTGAGAAAGGAACTCAAATAAGACACATGTCACATTCTCAAGTTTCAAGACCACAAGGATCCATTTCTATGTTATTCAGAGAAACCATGAATACTGTTCTCTGGGACAATCAGTCAGTTCAACACCAGACCCGATCTGCCGAGACGCCTGCTGCTCAGCCTCAGATAAAGTCCAGAATCCAGTGTCCTCTCTCCAACCCCAGCCTGGTCCCACACCCAGACCTCCCCGCCACGCCTGGGCCTCATTGCTGTCCCGCCGCAGAGGGGTCAGGAGCTGCACACACCCCGCTGCGGCACCTGGGCACAAGTCGCATATTTCAGATGCACCTGGTGTCACTGTTCACACAAACCGGAGTGGGAAGAGATCCAAATGCTCGTTCACGGCAGATGGGTGAGGACGCCCCAGCAAGTCCTCGTCAGGGAGTCAGCGAGCGCAAGGCGAGTGAGGGACTCTCCGGAGACATGAATGGGTCTTGATAGTGAGGAGGGATTTGGCAGTAAAAATACACACTGCAGTCTAGTTGCCTTGTTGAGTTTGCAGAGGCTCCACATCACGCTGATGTTTCTAACCCGGGGCCCACATTCTTCATTCCCAGAATATGGCAAGGACTTTGTAGTCATCTGTATGCATCAATAATTTGAAGTCCTTTAATACAAAAAGTATAGAATATTACCTTGTCACAGCAACAGGGAAATGAAAAAGAAAATTGACTTATGTTCTTTAATGGCTAGGAAATGCCTTAAAAGGTATTTCCAAGCACAGGTGAATCTAAGAAATGACCAATTTCTTTCTTTACATAGATAAATATAAGGTTCGGATCCTCTGTAAATAAATGAAGCCATTAAGGGTAGAGTCCCACAGATCACAGAACTGACCCAGCATCCAGCTCTGCTCACGATTTCAGGGAGTAATTTCCAGGCACAGGTCGAGCTGGAGAAGTTGGGACCCTTGTGGCCCCACTGTCCTTCCTGCCTCACAGACCTCTGGAGGGGTGCCTGGAACATTTCTCTTGGGCTTTGAAGATCATTTCACTGAAACGCGACATTTTCCAGGTGCCATGGGCCTGGCTTCCAGAAACTTCACCTGCGACAGTGGCTCTGGTGGAGTGAGCACCAGGCACTGTCAGGGCTCTCTCTCCCCAGCACTTTTACAAGGACTTGATGGGTTCTTCTTCCTTCAGGAGCAATCCCAGTGGGCAGAGGGAGGGACGGAGGCCTGGGTAAATGCTCCTCCCCAGCTCCGCTCCGGTGCTCCATGGGGCTCTGGGCAGGCCTGACGCCTCGTGCAGATGAGGGATTAGGTTCCCTCCTGCCTCACTGCTCTCAGGCCCTCATGGCACTCCCTCCCCACCCCGGGCAAGCAGAGCCGGCGGACCCTGCTCCCACCCAGCCGTTCTCAGGACTTTCATCCTTCCAGGACGACACCCTACCTGGAGCACCCGTTCCTGTGGCGCCCCAGTCCCGCACTGCAGCATTCACCCTGTCACCTCCATGGCGAGACCATCCTGGAACCGTGATCAGCCCATCGGTGTCATCCACTGTCCCTCCAGCCCATTTTCTGTGCTTGTTCCTCATTCCAAAACATCCTGAAATTACAAGAGAAATTAACTTTTTCAAGTTCTGTGCTTCTGAGGTGGGTTTGGCTTAATTAACACTGATGTATTTTAAGGGCATTTTTTAAAGCTGTACTTTAAGAAATATTTCTTACATTCTTTTGAAGTTTTTTTTTTTTCTTTAAGACAGAGTCTCACTCTGTCTCCCAGGCTGGAGTGCAATGGCATGATCTTGGCTCCCTGCAACCTCCACCTCCCAGGTCTGGCTTATTCTCCTGCCTCAGCTCCTGAGTAGCTGGGAATTACAGGTGCACGCCACCATGCCCAGCTAATTTTTGTATTTTTAGTGGAGACGGGGTTTCACCATGTTGGTCAGGCTAGTCTCGAACTCCTGACCTCATGATTCATCTGTCTTGGCCTCCCAAAGTGCTGGGATTACAGGTGTGAGCCACCATGCCTGGCTGTTTTGTTTTTGTTTTTGTTTGTTTGTTTGTTTTAATCAAATACAGTTGAGGCTCTATTGGAGTCCCACATTAAAAAGAACTGAGACAAATCAGACCTCAGAGGCAGGACAGTGTTTCGTGAAGCACATGTCCAGTCCCATCACTGTCCTTCCTCACGTGGGCCCAGGGATGTGGGTGATGGCATTTGTTGCTCCGGGTGATGGGATAGATTTGATCTGCCTGTGTGGGAAGGGGTTAACTCAACAGGCCTGATTGGATCAGGACTCTGCACATTCCCAGGAAGGGCCCTTGGCTGGCTCCCCGGGAACTGAGCTTTGCAGTGTTCTGACTGATGAGAGAGACTCTTGAGCCATGTTGCACTACTTTGCCTGCAGTAATTCCTGACCAACAAGGTGATGGATGGCAAACACCTGCTTTCCCTGTGGGTGGCTAGAACTTCCCTGACTGACCCCCAGGTTCAGGAGAGCCTCCCTGGTCCGCACCACAGCACTAGCTGTCCCAGCTCCTTGCTGGAGGAATCCGGTGCACCCTGTGTGACTCCGCTGGGAGGGCTCTGGAAGCGCCTGCTTCCCAGCAGCCCTTTCCCTTGGCTGGTTTAGTCTGTACCTTCAAGTTGGAGGGTGGTCTCAGGACCCCCATGCAGTCTTTCATGTTGTTGCCAGAAACTCATCTTGGCAGGGCTTCAGGGAAGGGGTTGACGGTGACAAATGACCTGGGCGGGCCTGGGGCCAAGCACAGCATCTACTTGGGGTTTTCAGGCGGATGCCCAGGGTATGTCTAGCACCTAATGTAACTGAGGCATGAAATGTCTGTGCGCCATGATGCTTCAGCTTGTTACGGGCAGTTAGGCTCTGTGGTTCTCTCTGGTTTTTGGGGAGAAGCTAGACCCTGCTGTGGTTGGCAAGGAAGGTGAGTGGAGATAGCAGGAGTGTCCATCCCTCAGAGCTCCTTTCTAGTGGGAGCGGCTGCCTCTCTCTGATCCTTGATTCATCCCAGGGCAACCTCTGCTCTCCTGGGCAGTTCTTAGAATACTCCAGAAGACCCCAGTACAGCTGTCCGGTTCCTCCTGGACCCTCCCAGCTCTCAGAGTACCCATCCCTAATACTGCATGTGTGCTACCATCCAGACGGCACCTGAGCTTCTACATGCTTCTGCGCTGCAGGGTTAACATCTTGCTTGTGTTTTAACTCTGTGTTATTTTTGGTTTAAAACTTGTTTGGCCGTGCTATTTGCTGAGATGGTTCAGAGAAGCTTCTACTTATGATCAGGATAACTCACAGTGCAGCCTTCACTTGAGGACTTAGTCTCATCCAGGTCCACACAGTCCAGGGCCACGGACGCAGAAGACAGAGGATTGATTGCCCAGGAGGCTTCCAGGGCTTTGGCCTCGGGGCTTCTTGTCAGCGCCTGGGTCAGGAGCAGGTCACCCTTGTGTGCAGATACTAGGTTCCTGTACACAGCAGTGAAGAATGGGGGAAGACCAGATGGATTTCTTTTGTGAGGCAGGGATGTTCTTGGTGTTTAGAGTTTCCTCTCTTTGCCTTGTTGGTTCTCTGTAGTTTATCTTTACTTTTTGTAATACTAGTTTCCCAGTAATTCTGACCTTCCGAAAACCTCTCTCTATATATGCCTGCCTACTTTCCAGCTACCTGTAAAGCCTATCAAACGACATTCCTGCAGATTTTCACTCTATTCAGCTAACAGATGCTCGTGGAGTGTTGCTGTGTGTGTGCCATGGGTTCAGGGTTCAGGTGCACCTGCCTTGTGGGGAAGAGCACAGCTTCCTGCATAACAGCTGGAGGGGTGGGATCTTCCCAAGGGAAGTTGGGAGGTGCTCAGGCAGAGTAAATGGATTTAACTTCTGGGCTGGGAGAACATGGTACCCCGTGGAAGGCTCCTGAGGAAGGAAAGGAAGGAGCTGGAGGGAGGGTATGTGCGTCTTAGGAGGGGATGCACTTCAGGTGAGAGTAGGCGGGCATGGCACTAGGAGCCCCATGAGCCCAGAGTGATGACTCGTAGAGGCCTAAGGGACCGTGCCAGCAGACTCACCACCTGCATCTTTTTCACCGGAGCCTGACATTGTTCTCTGAGATCAGGGCTGTCTCTGTGTGCTGCCCCCGGACTGTGGCAATTTTGGGTGTATAGAAAAACAACTGTGTGTCTAATACAGATGGGGTATGAGGAGAGCCAATGGTCTTTTTCCTGACACACAATATGTTTTTAGTTGATTTTCAGTGAGTATGGAAGTTATTGAAGGTACAGATCACTCTGAAAATAGGCTCTTGTGTGTGAAGGTCATCAGTGAATCTTCACCCCTTATAGTTGGTAAATGGTTAGGAGCTCCTCAAGGGTATCAGATTCTACAGTGAATCCGAGATAAAGTACAGCCTTCCTATTCAGTTTCAGGGAAAATCATATAAAGCCCAGACCGTAATTTGTCAGGAATGTTTGCAGTGTGGGTGGGATAGATGTCTTCACCGTGCTTTGGGATGATTGCTGAGGGAGAACGGAAGGAGGGGTCTGGTACTTGCACCTTTCGGTAGAATTAGTGTGAATGCCACACCGAGCTGTGCTCAGGTGTCTGCCAGCAGTGGTGGCCTTGACGATGGATTTTCTGAAATGGGGATTTGTGAAGTTCTCTAACAAAAGTAAGTGCGAACTTCTTAACTTGGCTAGTGGCTGCATCCTTGAAAAATTCTGTGTGTAAAATGATACAGAACCATTTCTCGGTTATCTGTTAAATAAGAGTACGCCATTCCAGCCACGGTAGATGACTGTGGACGGTCATGGAGGTCTGGCAGGCCACGGAGGACTCCCATACTCAGCAGGGTGTGACCCCACCAGACAGTGCTTTGCCCCTCCCAGGAGCTATGGCAGCTGACACGCCACCTGAGTGTCTAGAAACCACTACCCTAGATCCCTACTGCCTTCCCGGGCTCCAGCTATAGATCAGGAACTCAGTGTCCCAGAAAGATTTTCCTTTTACTTTAACTCCTGTTGTTTGTTTTCAGGCACGTGACTCCTTTAATCCAGTGACTGTCAGGTCGATCATATGTAAGTATCGGCAGATGGACACGCCAGCTTTTGTATCCTCAAACCCGCTTGGGTACCTGGGCCGGGGCTGTGGTTTCCTTTGTCTGTGGGTCTGTATCACTTTCCTCCCTTCTGGAATTCCGCTTAGATGAGCGTAGGCCCTTTCATCCCTCTCCCCCCGTCTCTGTACCTTTTCATGTCTCTCCGTGTCTGTTTGCTTTATTCTTTATTCTGATTATTGTTAATGTACTGTTTGTTTAACCTGTCCTTTCAGTTTCTAATTCTAAAGATGACATATATTTAAAATTTCTAAATTATTAGTTACTTTTACATCTTATCTGGGTGTTTCTGATAGACATTGCTTATTTATTTTTGTGATTCCATCCTTTATTTATTCAAATTTTTTTTTTTTTTTGAGATGGAGTCTGGCCTGTCTCCCAGGCTGGGAGTGCGTGGCCTGATCTCAGCTCACTACAACCTCCGCCTCCCGGGTTCAAGCAATTCTCCTGCCTCAGCCTCCTGAGTAGCTGGGACTACAGGCGTCTGCCACCACTCCTGGCTAATTTTTGTATTTTTAGTAGAGATAGGGTTTCACCATATTGGCCAGGCTGGTCTCAAAATCCTGACCTTGTGATCCACCTGCCTCAGCCTCCCAAAGTGCTGGGATTACAGCTTTGAGCCACGCCCCAGCCGTATTCAAATATTTCCATATGATAGTCTCTTAGCCGCATGAACATGTTTTATTGAAAAGTGCTAGATATTTGTGACGTGGAGCTACCTGACAGTGTTTGAAGTCCCGGAGGTGGTCTACAAACATTGTTTCTCCTGCTCAAGCCCACACAGAGTAAATCCAACTTCCTTGATGTTTCTGTAATTGTTTGTTTTAGTGGGTTCATGTGTAGCCTTAATGTGAGGGTCTGCATCATTTCTTTGGGTCCAGGGTCTCCCCAGCTGTACAGGTAGCCGGGTTTTTGCTTGTTTCTTTTAAGAGACAGGGTCTCCCTGTGTTGCCCAGGCCTGGTCTTTGGAATTCTGGCTCAAGCAATCGTCCTGCCTCAGCCTCCCAAAGAGTGGGGATTACAGGTTTGCACCCCCATGCCCAGACGGTAGCTGGGGTGGGAGCTGCAGCTCCAGGGGCAGGCAGGTATTCAGGACATGGGGTTCCATCCCCGTAGCCAGGTGGGAGCTGCAGCTCCAGGGGCAGGCAGGCTTGGGATGCAGGTGTTCAGGAGAGTCGTGTTTCCATTCCCACCCCACTTGATTTCTGGAAGGTTTCCTTTGCTGGGAGGTGCAGCCCCCTTCACGCCTCTTTAATATGGAATCCCAGGTTCAGTTCTGCCTCACAGGGACCACAGGAATGTGTCTCAAGGTTTCCCAGAGCAGCCTGGGGCTTGTTCCTTCATCTCCCATCCATGCACGCGTTTTAGTCTTGTGAGGATTCCCTGAGTTCCTTGCGAAGCCCGTGTGTGGTAAGGCGTCTGAGTCCTAGTGCTGGTGTAGCTGGGGGGCTTTTCCAGATGGTTGTGCCCTGCTGGTCATGCAAATGTCGCCACGTCACACTGATGGAAGGAGAGAAAACTTGGAAGCATAGTAGTGGCAGGGCTCAGCTTTTAGTGCTAGAAAAGGTGTTGATAGATGGGGAGCTACCTCCCCCTCCAGAGAGGAAGGGCCTGGGAGCCACTCCTCTGCGTAACTCTCACCCTGGTGTGCAGCTCACCCAGCACCCTTCCCTGCTGGTGTCTGGTGCACAGTGGGTCCTGCACGCACCAGCATCGTCCACACACACCGTGCACGTTGTGGAACGGTCCTGTGAAAAACAGCCCCTGGTGGCACACGGGGTTGTGGACTGTTGGGAGGAAGCATCGATGCTGTTTCTCATATGATTTTTCATCCTGTGGATTTTCATTCAGTTGTAACATATTTCCAATGAAACCAGGAGTGGTCGTATTGCAGTCCTATATTAACCTCTGTTCTTGAAAAGAGACCACGTGATGTATCGTTTTCTCTGCAGCAGTAATTCAGATTGAATTTTTCTGTGGTTTTTAACCATATTGCGACTACGTGTAAAGGTAGTTGCAGATTGTTTTGTATTTGTACCTGGAGTTAGACTGAAAGCAAATAGGATGTAGGCGAGGGTCTGTTTCTAATTAAAGCAGGTTTTCCTGACAGGGCTGTTCCGAGCCTCCACCAGTGCTGTGGGTCCTGGAGAGTTGGAGGGTCAGCTCTGGGAATTAGATTCGTGTTCTAGGCCGAGGCCCAGGAGCCAGAGGAGCTGGGGCCACTCACCCTCCGTGCGCCTCGGAAACTGAGTGTGAAGCTCTGCTCTTCCTTCCGTTGTGGCTGCGGCCGGATTTCCTCGCACATCCCATAGCATGGCCTGCCTCACAGCTGCAAGCGCACCTTCTCATGGGACTTAGGGGGCCAGGGCTGGGGGACAATCCCTGACACCCCCACCCAGGGCGAAAGTGACAAGACTTTTAGGGATATCGCCCCTATTCACAGACAGGCATGCATTGCCCAGCCCCTGGTTAGTGATCAGCAGTGGGCCCCGCCAGGCTCTGAGGGCTGAGGTCTGGTGGGAAGCCTCGAGTGAGTTTGCTGCGACTGATCTTTTGTTGCTTGACTGTTCCTCTCTGTCTCAGCCATGTTTGACCGTGAGAACAAGGCCGGCGTGAACTTCAGCGAGTTCACGGGTGTGTGGAAGTACATCACGGACTGGCAGAACGTCTTCCGCACGTACGACCGGGACAACTCCGGGATGATCGACAAGAACGAGCTGAAGCAGGCCCTTTCAGGTTTCGGTAACTCACTCATCCTGGCTTGTGTAGCGTGTTTCATTTTGGAACCTAGGAGCCGCTGAAGTTTTTTAAACCTTGTTGAACTTAACTGATTGTCTAACCAGGCTATGTAAAGTTTTTGTTGACATCATGCAGGTTCGTATTTGATATTGCTCATGTCGGAAGGCGATCCTTGACACGGATACGTTTGTGCAGTTTTTTGTCCAAAATGAGATAAGGGCTATGCAAGCCATTCGTCTTTTGTGAAGTGGAATGATGTTATGAGCAAAACTGAGAGTGTGGCTTTTGAAATCATTTAAAAGTGAATCCGTGAAAATACCGTGGGGCAGGGCAGGTTGTATTTCATGATAGATCAAAGCGTGTTGAAAAGGTGACAGTCAACCTAAGAAACAGCTGTCAGTCACCAGGTCCAAACCGTGCGCCTCAGAAGGGGCGTTAGGCAGAATGCGTGCCCATTCTCAAGTGTGCTCGGCGTGTGTGCTCGGCGTGTGTGTGCACACACGTGTGCCGTGCACCTCAGAACAGCATCAGAGAGGCGGAGCATGTGATCATTCTCAGGTGTGTTCCGCAGGTGCGTACTGTGTGCATGTGTGTGCTCAACGCGTGTGCACACGTGTGACAGTGTGCCGTGGGTCTAGGAGTGTTTACAGGGCCCGTCCAGAGTGCGTCCATAGGGCCTGTCCCCGGGGCTTCCTGTGCTAGTCTCAGGTCTGAGAGGAAGCAGGAGTTCTATTTACAGAGGAACAACAGACATGTTTGGGGCCAGCCTGAGGCTCTTGGTGGCTGCACCAAGATTCTAATCCAGGCGGATTTCATCTGGCCCCTGGTATGAAGCCGCTTCCGTGATTTACTTAAAAGGCTCCTTAGAAACAGTGAGGAAGATTCGATTCTACTTGAGTACCTCTGAGATAACTGGAGTCTCACTTACCTAAGCACGCCGCCTCTCCTCGTGTTTCCTCCCAGCATGCACTTTATGGCTGCCTTTCTTTCTCTTCTCTTTCTCACCTTACAAGCTTGTCCACAGGGCTGGCTATGCACACTGGGTCTCAAGAAGCAGTTCTGAGCTGACCAGCTGCGAGCCGGGATTTGGGCTGGATGGCTCTGAATTGGCCCTTGGAATGCAGCTGACCTTGCTATGTCCTTGGGTGGGGGAAGTGGAGGGAACCCTGGCTGGCTTCTCTTCCCTGGGGCAAGTATGGAAGGGCTGGGAGGGAAGGATGCCACCCTCCACAGCGGTCCTGGGGCAGGGAGGCCAGTGCTACCGAGTGCGGCCAGGGCCACATGGACTTCAGGACCAGCCTGGAGTTATTTTTAGACAAGCGACCTCTGGTGCCACAGACATCTTTTCCTAACCTTGTCAGGCCCCGGAGCTCCCTTTGCCTCGTGCCGGTGACCACCGGTTCTCAGAATGCGCAGTGGAAGTTGCTACGGACGGTGCTCCCTGCTCTCTGAGGCCCTCTTCGTCCTGGTCTGGCTAAGGACTGCCCAGAAAACTGTGCTGAGCTGTGGTGGGAGGCACGGCCGGTCACACAACCTTCCTCGTGCCCCGGAGCGGGCAGGCCTCCTTGTGTTGCGCGGTGGCAGAACCCTTCCTGACTTCCAGGCTTTTCCTGGGGCGCGGTTTCCCATCGCGGCGTTTTCTCTGGTTACCCTAGCAAGTGTCCTTCCGCGTTTGGTTCTTGATGTCCAGGGCCATCTCCCACATCTTCCGTGGAAAGGGGCATCGTCATCCTTTTTGTATTTTGATTATTTCAAAAGATTTCCTATAATAACTGTTAGGAAGTCGGCCCCTGAAGCAAAAATTCTTCTTTTGTCTTGGCCCTTACGAGCAAGTGTTCTGCTCTCAGATGAAGCAGGGAGGCTGCACTTGAGCTCAGTGGCCGGCACGAGGGAATCACCAGGTGGTGGAGCCTGCGAGATTTCTCCCCAAGTGTCTCTGACGGGGCCACGTGTGGATTTTATAATCCAGCCGTTCGTTTTTTTAAGCCTTTATTGTTAACATCAACTGTGTGCCACGCTCAGAGACCGGAAGTGAGAAGGTGAGGAAGGCGTCCGCACATTCGGGCACCCATCACCCCGCACCGGGCCGGCCGACTCAGCACGTGCCGTTAGGTTGCCGTAAACAGCCAGCCAGATTCTCCCTCTGGTGGGCGGTGGGTGTCTGAGAAAGGCAGGTGGGCGGAGAACAGTTCCTCCACCGTGGCCCTTTGCCACGGTACCAGGCCGCCCAGAGCTGGGGGAGCCCCAGGGAGCCTCATCCTGTTGAGTGGGGGCAGCTTGTTTTTCCTTGGAGGTGGAATGGATGAGATTTCCAAGGAGGCCACGGCTCTGCTTGCTCGTTCACAACATTTCAGAGAGTCCGAAAGAGGAGAATGACCTTGGAAACGGGTGTGTCGGGGGCAGGCCCAAGGGTGCTGGTCGTCTCACATGGGCTGACTTTCATTAACAGAAACTCAGAAGCAGTTGCGGTTGGGTTTTGGCTTCTCAAATAAACATTCTTCTTGTAGTTCGTTTGTTCCTCCCTCATTTTACTAGTCTGACTTTGCCTTTGTTTTCCCTTCACTGTTACTGATGACCAAGGACGCTGGAAGTTAATTCCAGAGGCAGCGGGGTTGCTCCTGATGTCTGTGCAGACTGAAATTCCTGTGCCTCTGTCAGCATCTCCGCTGTCCTTCCCCAGCCTTGGCAGGAGGCCAGTAATGACCTCTGTCCCCTGTGCACCCCTTGTGATGGCCGCTGTCCCCCTTGTACCCCAGTGATGGCCTCTGTCCCCCTTGTACCCCAGTGATGGCCTCTGTCCCCCTTGTACCCCAGTGATGGCCTCTGTCCCCTGTGCATTCCCAGACAGGGGTGTCCCTGTGGCCGTGTCCCAGGCTCTGTTCTCAGCAGGCCGGGCTCAGCCCCGGTACAGGTGCAGGGAGTGAGGAGGTGGGAATAGTAGGGACCAGAAGAAGTGGCAGCTGTTCACAACTCTGCCATTTCTTTCTGAATGTAACGGGAGGTCCTGTCTTCTCAGCTTGCAGGGAGGGAGGGTCCGAAGCAACTCCGCTGTTGCACGTTTAGGGACCCCTGAACTTAAATGGCAGAGCGCCCTGACCACTCTGGAAGGCACTGTGTTCCTGTGTGTGTGCTTGACTCTCTATCCGTGAAGGGGCTGTTTGTGCAGATGATTAACTGTGAGATTCAGACAGTAGGTGCACACATCCCTGCAGAGATTCCAGCAGGGCTGAAAACCAGTAAAAACAGATCAGCACCTGGATCTTGCCTCCTGAGTCAATAAGGATGCCACAGTCACGAAGGCAGTGGGATTTCGAGGGAGCGAAGGGAAGGAGGCAGGCGGGGTGTGCTCTCCAAGGTGCCCGAACACACCTGCTGCCTCCACACGTCTTCAGAGCCCTCTCCCTGTGGGAGGCCTTTTTCAGGACAGGCTCGGTGAACTGGAAACGAAATCCTAGTCCTTGGTGGCCCTGCAGTGACTTGGACCTTTCCGAGGTCACCCTGCCAATGTGCCCATCAGTCCCTCATGGCACATCCCCCAGACACTCCCATTTCTTGACATTGACACTTTGTATAACTGGAAACCTTCTGTGAAATTTTAGTTTTCAAAGCATTGTCTGGTGACAAGCAACCCAGGGTGGCGAATCATTCAGAATTTTCTTATCTAGGTTAATAAACATAATAAAATCAATAAGGACTTTGAAAGAAACTCCACTGGGTTCACGAAACTGAGCGTGGCCGCCCTGTGGGGTGGTGGTTGGTGAGTGCTTCCCTGGGGTGAGTAGTTAATTCACGAGAGTGACTGATGGCAGCGTCCCACTCGCTCCTCCTTCCAGGGTCATGGTCTCGAGGGGTCGCTCCATGCACTGCAGATGTGAGCTCATTATCCAATGACATATTCGGGAAGCGTCTCAGTTCTGAGTGCCTTTGAGTGAATTTGCACTTCCGTTCGCACCCAGCCTTGCATCGTGTGTGTTAGAGGCTGTGGGCCTTGGGAGGGAGGGGTGGGCGTTGGCACATACCTCCCGTCTCTCCCAGCCCTCTCTGACTCCGACTTTCACTCTTCAAGGCTACCGACTCTCTGACCAGTTCCACGACATCCTCATTCGAAAGTTCGACAGGCAGGGACGGGGGCAGATCGCCTTCGACGACTTCATCCAGGGCTGCATCGTCCTGCAGGTGACGGAGTGGCTTCGCCTGGGTTTGCTGTGGTGGTGGGAGGGGTTCGCTTGCCAGCGTGATGCACCTGACCTTCAATCCAAGGAGTCAGGCGTATGTAGACTTAGTTTTTGGAGCTTGTAAGAGTGAGTCTCATCTTTGGAGAAGTAGCTGGTTAGTGGAAGTGTAGACAAACATGTTTTCCTCCCCTTGGAAATGGCATAGAGCAGCCCATCTGGGAGACGCTGTTTTTGCAGTATCCAGTGGGTTAGTTACACGTTTGTTCTGGTGTTTTGATTTTTTTTTTTTTTTTTTTTGAGACCGAGTCTCGCTCTGTCACCCAGGCTATGGCACGATCCCGGCTCACTCTCACCTCTTCCTCCCGGGTTCAAGCGATTCTCCTGCCTCAGCCTCCCCAGTAGCTGGGATTACAGGTGACACCCAGCTAATTTTTGTATTTTTAGTAGAGATGGGGTTTCGCCATGTTGGCCAGGCTGATCTCAAACTCCTGACCTCAAGTAATCCGCCCGCCTTAGCCTCCCAAAGTGCTGGGATTACAGGCATGAGCCCCTGTGCCTGGCCAATGATGGTGTATTTTTGCAAAAACTTTTATTCTGAGAAAATGGGCACATTTTCTGTTGTGGTCATCACTGTGTCCTGCCGTCTTTGTGTGCGAGGTCAGCTGTGGAGCCTGTGGGCACTCGGGCAGCCCTCAGTGGGGTCTCCGAGCTCTTCCTGTGCACACCAGTGTCTGCAGGAGCTTGTAATGCATCCTGACCTGCAAGGCAAGCTCTTTGGTGACGTCTCTCCTGCTGGGCTCTCTTTGAGACCCACGGAGATGGGGAGGAGGGCTCAGGGGACCCGCCTGGGAGCTCCACACAGACCCCTGCTGCTGTGTGCAGGTGGAGATCCTGGTCTCTACCCAGATTCCTCAAGGTCCTGCCTTGGTGGCCTCGCAATTCCGTGAGAGATGGGAACAGCATGGGGTTTTTAGAAATAATGGGGAAATTCGGAAAACGTTCCCAAATTGTTTATTCTATGTAACAATTAAAATGCTAGATCTGTAAAAGTGAGTTTCCTCTGATTTATGGATCCATCAGTCCCTCCTCTTCAGGGATTTGTTGGAGAACCAGGTCTGTGAACATGGAAGCTTCAAAACTCGACGGTGGGGGAGCCTTTCCTGCCCTGCCTCTTGGGGTTCCTGCCACGTTGGATGACATTTTTACAGTGTTCTCTGAACACTTTCAAAAAAGTGTAGGCTGGGCCTGGTGTCACCTGCCTGTGGTCCCAGCTACTCAGGAGTCTGAGGCAGGAGAATCACTTGAGCCTAAGAGGTGGAGGTTGCAGTGAGCCAAGATCACACCACTGCACTCCAGCCTGGGTGACAGAGCCAGACACTGTCTCACAAAAAAGAGGGAAAAGATGCAGTGTAAAATCTCGTTATGTACCGTGACTGAATTGCTGTAGGATTCAGATCTTCATTTGAGACTGTGTTCTGTAAGTTAACGTTGATCTTGTGTGAGCTTTCGGTAGCTGGAGTAACACTGGCAGCCTCACAGTGACCTCTCCAGCGCCTTCCAAGGCACATCTGCAGCAAGCGTAGCTCCTCCTGGGGGGTGCTGCCTCCCCAAGGCCCAGCTCCAGACTGCGTGGGGAGGGCCTGACAGCCAGTTCCCATGCTGTCCCCACCCTTGGAGAGTGACCCTAAACACTAGACAGATGGGGAATGGGAAAGAAAAGAAAGCTGCAGACCACAAGTTAATTCCCTCAAAAACGTTTTGATTCATCTGCTTTTTCCAAAAGGATAAAGGCTTTTCGAAAATTATTTTTTAACAAATAATATGAACACTTTTAGAAACCCTAGACAAAAGTATTCAAAATAGAAAGAAAGAAAAATTACCCATTATTCTTTAAGCCAGCATTATCCATTGCAGGTGTTTTTGGAGTTCGGTGAGGCCATAGCTGCTGCTAAGTCCAGGAACCTGGTGTTGCTGTGGCGTTCCTGCAGGGTTGTTTTTTTTTTTTTTTTTTTTTTTTCCTTTGAGATGGAGTCTCGCTCTGTCACCCCAGCTGGAATGTGGTGGTGTAAACACAGCCCACTACAGCCTCGACCCCAAGTCTCAAGCGATCCTTCCTCCTTGGCCTCCTGAGTAGCTGGGATCACAGGCGAGAGTCACCACACCCTGTCCACGTTCTGATATGCGAGGACTGCTGTTTTCTTCCCTTGTCACATTTTCTTCTTCTTCTTTCTTCTTCCTTCTTTCTTCTTCTTCTTCTTTTTTTTTTTTTTTTTTTTTTGAGAGACCCTTGCTGTCTATCACCCAGGCCTGAGTGTGGTGGTGTGAACACGGCTCACTGCAGCCTCAACCCCCAGGCTCAAGGGATCCTCACGCCTTGGCCTCCCAGAGTGCTGGGATCACAGACGAGAGTCACCATGCTGGCCTGAATCTTCGTGGTATTTTACGGCTGCCCCAAGTCCATCATCTAGAAGTGGCACTTACTTAACCATCCCTGTTAGGAGGGTGTAGGCCGTCACCCTGTCTCTGCCGCTGACCTGGCCTGGACCCTCGGCTGTCAGAGGGAGGGGCGGGCGGGGCTGGAGGAGCCTGAAGCCCTCGTGATGTCACAAGATCCCCCGCTGTGTCCTGAGCTCCACATGGCCCAGGTGGCCCCACAGCAGAGGCGAGCCACTGGGTGGAGGGCCTCCACGGGACGGTGTTAAGGGGCAAAGGAAGGGCCCAGGCCCCCAGGAGACTCAGGAGACCAGGGCCTGGGATCAGGGGCTCGGTCAGGGGCTCAGCCAGGGCTGGACGTGGTGGAGCCAGCCTTGCACCCCTGTGTTCTTCCCACTCCCACTGTCCATGTGAACAGCTCCAGCCCCACCTGTGCCTCCCTGTGCTGGGCTCCATCAGGAGATGACATGTGTGCTTCTGAAATTGGGTTCCTAAATGCCTTTGTCCCAGTGCACCTTGCTCCTTCTGTTTACTATTGAGATTTAAATGCGTGTTTTCTCCCCAGAGGTTGACGGATATATTCAGACGTTATGACACGGATCAGGATGGCTGGATTCAGGTGTCGTACGAACAGTACCTGTCCATGGTCTTCAGTATCGTATGACCCTGGCCTCTCATGAAGAGCAGCATGACATGGCAAGAGCCGAAACGCCAAAGTTCCTGCCTGTGAGGGAATGGAACCCAGATGCAGTTAGATGCTGTTCTTCCTTTAGATTTTACCATGTGGGGACCCAACTGTACATATGTGGATAAGGTGATTAGTGTTTTCCAACTGTGATAGTAGCTGCATCATAATGCAGACATTGGGTTTGGTGACTGTCTCATTGTGCCATGAGGTAAATGTAATGTTTGAGGCATTCTGCTTGCAAAAAAATCTATCATGTGCTTTTCTAGATGTCTCTGGTTCTATAGTGGAAATGCTTTTATTAACCAATAGGAATTTTAAAACAATATGGAACTTGCACAAAAGGCTTTTCATGTGCCTTACTTTTTTAAAAAGGAGTTTATTGTATTCATTGGTATATGCGACGTAAGCAATAAAGGGAATGTTAGACCTGTGGTCTGCCTTCAGCTCTTCAAATCAAATAGGTCCAAGAACCAGGCCCCACGCCCTGGTCCTGCAGACAGTCGCTGCGTCCGATGTGCTGGCTCGTCTGGGACCTCCCAGGGTCCTGGGCACCTTCTGGGACATCGTCCAGCCCAGCGTGCACAGCTCTGCTTGTGAAAAGCCAGAGGGACTCTCACCCTCTGTTCAAGAGGCTACATTTCATAAAACTGCTCCGTTTAAAGAAATCCAATTTGGTGTAGCAGGTTGCGCATTTCCATCATTAATGATTTAGCCACGCTGTCTCCGCACGTGGCCTACAGCACATGGCCCCCAGCACATCCCCCTGCTCACCTCGGTCCACTGCCAGTGCTGCCCGGTCCCCCTCCCTGCCTCGCTGTACAGCACCGGGCCCCCCTGGGTTGACACTCCTGAGCCCCAGCCTCATTCTCTGGACGCTTCCCTTCCACGGTGATGCGTCTGGTTTCGGGGCTGCAGCCTCTGCTCAGAACGCCTGCCTTGACGCTGCTCGTTCCACACAGTTCTGCACGTCTTTTCTCTGTTTTGGTCTCTTGGGATCTGCTGCCTGCTCAATCCCTGCTTGGTGTGTTGAGGGGTGAGGGGCAGGGGGCGTGGTTTCCTGGAAAAAGCCCCAGTGTCTTAATGCTGGGCAGGTGTGTGCTGTGTGTGTGGAGGGGTGGGGGGGCTGGGCTGCATCTGTGCTCCAGGTGAGATCTCCCCAACTGCCCACCTGCACTTGGCCTGGGGCCTCTGGATACGGCTCCCTCTGGAGCAGGCGCTCCCGGCTCCCTGGGGATGGGAGGAGGAGGGATGTGGGCTTGGGGGCCTGGCTGCTCCCTCTGGCTACACCGCCCATCTGTGCTGGCCCCTTCTCAGGTGCCCAGGCCCCATGTGGCCCCCGGGTTGGTGTGGGGCCTGCACTGCGCTGTCCTCGTCTGCTCCTGGTTGGCTACTCTGCCGGTCGCACCACCTGCCAGGCTGCCGGGGGTCCTTTCCCACAGCCGTCTGTGCTGCCTGTGGCCTTGTGGTCTGTCCTGCAGTCCTGGCTGGTGTGTGTGTCCCCCGGCAGCACCTGCAGCGTTGCTCCCTGCATCCCCTCACAACCCCCACCCCTCGCGCTGGCACATGGCCTCCCCTAGAACCTGAAGCCAGAGCTCGTGTGGGAGAAGTGGGTGGGGTATTCAGATTTCAGATTTGGGTTCTGGTGGGTGTCACTGATAAGAAAGTGGGGATCTGTTGGCCTGTGCTGGCCACGGGTGGGGCCTGGCACCGTGGGTTTCCCATCTGTGGTGCCCGTGGTTAGTGGATTAGAACATCACTGGACAGGAGGCCCGGGTGTGGCAGGGTCAGGCCCAAGGTATGTAGGGCTGGGACTGACCTTGTGACCTCAGTCATGGGGATCCCAGGGCAGTCTCTGAGGATCCCCAGCCATCCACTGGGTGCCTCGCTAGACTTGACACCCCATGACTGCAGCAGATGGCCCCAAGCTCCACTCCATGAGGTCAGCTGCCTACTGCAGCAGATGGCCCCCAAGCCCACTCCATGAGGTCAGCTGCCTGCTCCAGGCCCCAGGCTCCCAGTTCCATGAGGTCTTCTCACCCAGGCCTCCACGGCCAGGCACCCAGCAGCTTCTCCCTCGCCTCACGGGCACCTGGACTCAGTGTCAGGCCTCCACGGCCAGGCGCCCAGCAGCTTCTCCCTCGCCTCACGGGCACCTGGACTCAGTGTCCAGTAGCTGCACCCACCCCACCCTGGGAGCTGCCCTCACTCTTCTTCAGCCTCAGGCCTGTGAGGTCTCCGTGCTTGGGGTGAGGGCAGCTGCTGTGGCCACCTTGCAGCCCTCCCAGCCACATCTCCAGGCCCTTGCCCGTGCTGTCTCCCTTTGCAGTGAACAACCCCCACTCCACACCTGCAGCTTCTCTGGCCTCTGGATTCCTACCTGGGTCAGGGAAGCCAATGCTACTCCGAGGAGCTGCCAGCCCTGGTGAGACACCTGCCTACAGGTACACGATCAACGTTTGTCCTCCATGGATGATGCGGGCCAACAGTTGATGCTGAGGCCAATGTGCTCATCCTGTGTATCAGCTGCTGGGGAAGGAATGTTGTGTGTGTGCGGTTAGCTCCGTATTCCTAGAGAGCAGGCAAAGGCAGGTGAGACGGAGACTTTTACAGAGAAAAGGTCAGATTGTGGATGAAGTTTCCTTCCTTCCTTTTCGCAGCAATGAGATGTTCCTGATGGTGATAAAGTGTTTCTCAGCATGTCACGTGTGTGGGGGACAGACGCACAGGTTTGTGGTATGCTCAGGCGTGTGGCAGATTCACAGGTGTGAGGTACACTCAGGTGTGTGGTGCAGGGACCCTCGGCTACTCTGCACATGGCTGCCATGGGGGCTCCTGATCTGCCGGCAGACTCTGGGAGGCTGCCTTGGAGAGGGGCCTCCATGAAGACTCACGAGAACAAAAGCCGCTGAGAATTCGGGAGCACAAGTTCTTCAGCAGAAGGTGAGGAGGGCGGTGGGGCCGCTGCACCGCATGCTGGGAGGACCAGCAGGGGTAGCACGCTGGACAAACGCATGTCAGGCCGGCCTGCTGGCAAGGAAACCCCCGGATGCAGAGCCTGTGTGGGGCTGGTGGGCTGTGGCTGTCGGGAGGGGCATTTCCCCGGGACTCCCAGCCACCAGGAGTCAAGGGGAGGCCGTGAGGAGCATCTTGCAGTGGAATTGTGGAGGGGGAACTCCCCTGCTCTCCTGGTGGGAGTCACTGATACAAAACTGGGGGTCCCTGGAGGCCAGTGAGCTCACAAGTTGTGAAGGATTCTCTGTGGAGGGGGTGCCGTGCCCCCTGCCAGCCACACTACCAGCACAGACCCCATCCTCAGGCGCCTGCAGGGAGAGCCCATCAGCTGCACACAGCCCCGGCCACGTGGGGGCAGTGCGGCTGCACCACAGGGCTCCGGGAGCTGCTGACTGACCGGGTGGACCTGCCAGACACAGCCATGGCATTTGTAGCTACAGAGAGACCACAGAGAGAAGGGCCTTCACCCTTTCAGCTCTCCCTTGTCAGGCAGGCTGTGCCCTGTGACCCTTCAGAGCCTGGGTTTGGGGGTGGAGGGGGTGGACAGCTGACCAGGTGCCTGGTGCAGGCCCAGCATGGTGAGGCTGGGTCTGGGAGGCCAGGCCAGGCCAGTGTCGCTCGACCCCTGGTCCCAAGACCCAAGACAGCAGGACATGGTGGCACAGCCATCTCTGGGGGCCGCTACCTCCCTCCGCTCTGGGTCCTCACAATCATCGGTGCAGACGTGGAGGCACAGGTGCACGCCGTCGACCCTCACCTGGGGCCCCTGGCCTGTGCCTCCCCACACTCCCTACCCTGCATCTCCCCACACAGTCCTGCACTTCCCCCATCCTGTACCTCCCCACTTCACCCTCCACCTCCCCCCGACCCTGCACCTCCCCACATCCTTTACCTCCTTCCTTCATCCTGCACTTCCCTCTATCCCTCACCTTCCTCCTCACCTGGCACCTCCCCCCATCCTGTTCCTCCCCCCCTCACCTCCACCTCCCCCCTTATCCTGTACCTCCCCCTCACCCTGCACCTCCCCCTCCCCCTCCCCCCTCACCTCCCCTGCTCACCCTCCACCTCCCTCCCACACCCTGCACCTCCCCCCCCGCACCTCCCCTCATCCTTCACCTCCCCCCGCTCACCCTCCACCCCCCCACCATGCGGCAGGCAGAGAGCTGACTCCAGCACAGTGAACTTGGAATGATGGAATGCACCCTGGAAGCAGGAGCTCTGACGGGCGCCACCGTGACTGTGCCCAGCAGGGAGCTACCTGGTGGTTTTTAACAAAAGACAAAATTCCCCAGGTCCTTCTCTGTCCTCCAGGAGAAAGTGGCATGGGAGAGGGAACCCAAGCATGACCAGGGCTGCCCACACGGCTCCCTGTGAGGCATCAACGCTGGGAGCCACAGCTGTTGTGGGGAACCCGGGAAACCTAGCCACTGTCAGAGAGTCAGAGAGCCACAGGCACCTGCACCGGGTCCTGGCCCAGACCGAGGGGTCCATGCACCCCTGTCTGCCTCTGAGGTCAGGGCCCTGGGGTCCTGGCCTGGTCTGCCTGTGGGAGGCAAAGGTGTGGCCAGGAGGGGGCAGTGGTGGTCACCACTCCTGGAGGCCCATGAAGAGCAGCTTTGCCCCCACACTTCTGGGAAGCCAACTTGGGTGTGTTTGGGAGGGGCCTGGCGCTGCAGCTGGCCGTGGGCACCTGCCTGTGGCCGTCCACTGGGGGCCGAGTCCAGCTCAGATGGCTCTAGGGACCCGCTGCACCCACGACTCCTTTGTGGGTGTACCCAGAGCTGGGGGTGGCTCCTTGGAGGCTTCCAGTCCTGCTCCAGCTGCCATCCCTGCCAGGTGTTAGTCCCTCTGGTTCAGAGTCCCAGGAGGACCAGTGGCCCAGGAGAAAGGGGTGTGTCTCCAGCTGCTGGGAGTGTGGGTGGGAGCCAGAGGGCTCAGTGACAGTGGGGACGGCAAGTCCTGACTGGAGGGAGACCTCCTGAACAGGGTCCCCAGCACAGAGGCAGAAAGGAGACTGAGTGGGGGTGTCAGCTGCATCTGGACCTTCGTAGTGGGGAGGCAGGCACGCCTGACAGCCCATCTGACTGGGAGGCGGCTCGGGGATCCCCCATTGTGCGGGTGGGGTGCCCAGAGACTCCAGGACTCCACGTGGGGCTCTGCCTGCTGGACCCTGAGACTTTAGGGGCAGTGCCTCCCACAGCAGGGTCATCCTCTTTCTGCACAGTCCCACTGGCTGCCCCAGGTCCTGCAGAGACCTGAGACTCTGGGGACAAGCACAGGGGACAGGTGGGCGTGGATGGCCTGTGCCGGTCGAGGGCAGTGGGAGGGAAGGAGGAGCCGTTTCCTTGTGTACTCAGAGTAACGAAGTGTCTCATTCCAGTTGGTTCTGGTGGGACAGGGTAGGTGGAAGGGACCCGTG